GGGGAGGGGCGGGGGTCACAGCGGGGCCAGCGCGGCCCCGCGGCGGGGCAGCATCGCTTTCTGCCGCCGCCGTGAGGAGAATCGGCACCGGCACCGCACCCGGCAACGGCACCGGCACCGCACCCGGCAACGGCATCGGCACCGCGAGTCCCGGCCGGGCGAGGAGCGGGCTCTGTGCGTGGCTCTGGCTTGGGGACCGAGGGCGGAGAGCCCGTCCCGGGGCTGGGGTCCCGGCAGCCGGTACTCCCGGAGCCTCCCCCGCCAGGCGCGCACGGGCGAGGCCGCGGATCCATCTCGCCGTTAATAATTGATGGCGAGAGCCGCCGGGGCTGCGCGGGGCTCCGAGGCCGAAGCTTTTAGCCCAGCCCTGCTCAGATATTCAGCTCCATTTCCGCGGCAGGGCCGGGGCGGCTCCTTCTGGGAAGCGCTGCCGGGCGCTTTCCCGGCCGGACCCCTCGCTGGGGCTGAGCGAGGCTGGGCTGAGCTGGACGCACTCATGACCGCAAGTGGTGCAGGGCAGCAGCGTTAACTCCCCCTCAACCCCCTCAGGTGAATAGGGATCCCCCAAGGAAGGAAGGCAGGGGATCCCCAGGTTGGGCAGGGGTCCCTGTTAGATCCGGCAGGGGTCTCCCAGGGCGGATAGGGGTCCCCTATTAATCCCTCTGAGGCGGGCAGGGGTCCCTATAGGGCAGCGGGGGCTGGGTGCTCATGGACTGAGCTCTTGCCTAATGCACCGAGTACATCTGCAGAATCCAATTAACCTTCGATAACGAGGCCCTGAGCGACGCGGCTGTCAGCGGCCACCAGCCACCGGCACGCTGTGGTCCCCCGACGGGCAGCAGCCCACCAGGACGGGCAGCGCTGGCACCTGCAGCCCCCAGGCCGGGCAGACCCCACAACAGCCCCGGCTGCTGTCGGACCCTGGGGAGATGGGGTTGGGGTACGCGGGCACCCTGAGGGCACCCATGGGTGGGAGAGGGGACCGGTGTGCCCAGCCATGTGTCCCGAAGCTCCTGGGCACTGATCCCACTGACCAGTGGGGCAGGAGCTGCCTGTCCTGCAGGCAGCAGGAGCGGGGGGGCTCTGTGTGCCCCCCACTCCCACAGCGCTCCCTCCTGCTCCCTGCTCCATCCCTCACCCCACCGAAAGCCCGGGGGCTCTCAGCTCCCGCTCCGCTGGCATCCATCACATCTGCAGCCCCCCAGCCCCAACCGTGCCACCCCCCCCCAGCCCTTCTGACCGCGGAGCTGGGGCCCCCGGAGGGTTTGAGGGGGTGACCCGTGCTGCACCCCCAATCCGGGACCCCAGAACCCAGTGTCCCCCGCCCCGGGGGCTGCAGCCTGGCGGTGCCCGGGGGGGAGCAGCCCCCCAGCCGCCGGGTGTCGGCGTCACCGTGCAGCCGCCCACGCACCCGGGTGGCACCCGGCTCCTCCCCGAGGACGCCGCGCAGACGCCGAGGGCCACCGTGACGTCCGAGCGGGCGACTCGGCCGTCGGGTCCGCGGGAGTCCCGTGGCCGCAGGGACCCAACCCCACGCCGGTCCCGTCCCGGCTCTATCCCGATTCCATCCCCACTCCATCCCGACCCCATCCCGTCCCCATCCCCATCCATCCTCATCCCAGCCCTCCCACCGTGCCAGCCGGGTCGGGGTGGGCACCGCGCCCACCGGCTGCTGCCGCCTCACCCCGCGCACCCCGTCCGGGTGCCGGCGCCCGCGGCGGGCGGGCGGCGGGGGGCACCGGGAGTGTTTCATGCGGTTAAGAAGTGTCTGATTGAGGCAGGAGGCGCCAGCAGCTCCCCCGGGAGCCGCAAGCCAAGGACTGGAGGACCAAATGCAGGCTAAAGTAATCCAATCTGGGCTGGTTCATCTAATTAGCCCAGAATTAACCCAGCAGCCAGAGAGGAGCTGACTGTCCCTCCAGTTTGCCAGCGGGTTTGGGGGGAAGCGGGAGGAAGAAGGGGACGTCCAGCGGTAATGAGATTACGGGGGGGAGCGGGCGGGAGCGGGCGTGCGGCAGCCTCTGGCCGGTGGGAACGTGGGGCCCTGCCAGATCCCCGCCGCTCCATCGCCGTGATGGCCGGGGCACCGGGCCGGCCGCCGGGGGCACCGGGGACAGGCAGGGACCCGTCCCAGTGACCCCCGCCCCGGCAGCAGCTCCCGAGCCCGCGGCTTCCCCGTAGGGAACGGCAGCACCGGCACGGCCGGCACCGGGGACGTAGCACCACGAAGCCGCTCAGCTGCACCGGCAGCCCCAGGGCCACGCTGGGGGACGGGGCAAGGAGTCCCGGCAGCTTCGGGCAGCACCTCCGGGTGAGGCGGGCAGAGGCCAGACCCCACAGACCCCATGTGTGACCCCCTGCTCTCAGGGGCAGAGCGGCGTGGAGGGCGCGGGGCGGGGAGATGCTGGTGCGGCTCTGGCGGTGGCAGGGCCTGGTGCTGCGCTGGCTGAAGGCTGATTCCTTCCTGGAACTGGGCAAATGCCCTTTTTTCTGCCCCATCCCCTCCAGCTGTCACTGCCACCCACAAGAACTGTCAGACCCAGCCCCATGGGATACGAGCGGGCACACACCGAGGACACGGAGGTCCCTGCTATAGTTGAGAAATGAGGAAGGGTCTTTACTGGCCCACTGAGGGGTTCCGGGTACAGGGACCCTGCCTGGTCCCCACGGTGGCTCAGGGGACCCTGGGGCAGGCACAGGGACACGGCCTCCTTCCAGGTGGCCCAAGGATCACGGGGAAGACAGAACCAGTGGCACAAGGTGGTGACAGTGAGGGGACTTTGGCTGGCGGGGTCCCTGGGTGGGAAACACCCTACACCCACAGCCAGGGTGGGAAGGGGCTTAGGACTCCTTGAGCACCCTCAGTTCTTCCTACACCCTTCCAGGGCAGCCCTGGGCAGGGGGGCTGCTCCGGCCGGGGGTGCCGCCTGCAGACCCCCGTGGGCATGGGGCGGGCCCTGGCACAAGCAGACACCGGGAGAGCCCGCATTGCCCCGGGCCCCGTCCCAGCCCCCCAATCCATCTCCCAGCCCGGCAGATTCCAGCCCCTGGGCACGGCAACATCTGCCTCCTGCTCCGGGTTCAATTAACCTGCTGCCGCCTCCTCCTCCGGCACCCGCCATTTCCTCCCACTGCCACTGTCACCACCACTGCCGCCGCTGTCACCGCTGTCACCGCCACTGTCGCCGCCATGGCTGCACCCCACGGGGTCACTGCGGGTCCCTCTGCCGCAGCAGACCCGGAGCCGGTGGATCTTTCCAGGTGGAAAAGCCACAGTGGGAGCGCTGGGATTTATCCCGGCACCTGCGGGGTTGCGAGCACGAAAAGCCAGAAAGCCGCGGCGCTTTGCAGGGCAGGGTCCCGGTGTTGCGTCCCCCTCCCCTTCTGGGCACACGAGGCTCCGTCGGTGCCCCGGTGTGGAGAGGAGCAGCTCGGCCGTTCCCGGTGCCGTGGTGGGCTGTGGGCACGGCCGAGGGTGGCACAGGCGTGTGTGCCAGTGCAGTCCCGGTTCCCGCAGAGCCGCGGCTGCAGGGACGGGTTCTCCACACTGCGGCAAGCCTCGGACCATCCGGTGCCCCCCGGTGCCCCCCGGTGCCTGCGGTGCCCCTGGGATGCGAGGTGCCCCAGGGTGTGCAGTGCCCCCGGGGCGGCAGCTGCAGCCCCCGGTGCTGCCGTGATTTACAGGCGCAGGCCTCGGTAATGTCATTTGCCCCAGACCGGTGGCGCCAGCCGCCTCCGCCCCGCCAGCCCCTGTCCCGGGGCCGTGACCCGCTCGGGAGCCGCCGGGAACCCACCCGCGGGGCCGCCGTGTCGCTGTCGCGATAGTCGTCGGAAGACCCGACCCAGCCAGTGCCGCTCTCTGCTGCCGTTACCGGGCTGGGCTCTGTGACCGGGAAAGGCGGGGCGGGGAGCAGGGGTCCATCCCAGGGAACGGCGGGGTCGGGAACCGGGGTCTATCTCCGGGAATGGCGGGACCGGGGGGGTGTCGGACTTCATCCCCCTGCACAGTCTGGTCCGTGGAAAACGGAGTCCATGATATCGGGAACGGCAGGCCCCGGGGAAGGGGGGGTTCATGGCCCGGGAACTGAGGGTCGGCGTGGGGTCGGTGCCCCGGGAAAGGCGGTTTCCTGGGAACTACCGGCAATGGCGGCTCGAGGAGATTGGGATCCATGTCCCGGGGTGTGTCCGTGTTCTGTGAACGGCGGGTCGGAACAACCCCCGGGTCCCCGCACCGGGCTCCCGGGCCTCCGGATCCATTCGCTCCCGTATGGACAGGCTCGGCGGGAACCGGGCTCGGTGCGAAGCCTGCGCACCTCGGGCTCTGGTCCGTGCGCCCCGCGATAACGGCGCCGGGGCAGGGGCCGCTTCGTGCGCCCCGGGAAGGGCGGCTGGAAGCGCCGACGGGGCTGCGGACGGAGCGGGGACGCGAAAAGGCGCAGCGCTGCTGCCCGATGCGACAGCGGCTCCGCTGGACCGGGTAGGCGGTCGGGCGGACGTCCCGTCGGGGGCGAACGGGTACGGAGCCCGTCGGTGCGCGGGGGACGTCCGGGAGCCGTGCGGGGCACGGGCGCTCGGGACTCGACGGGCCCGTCCGCCGGTCCCGGAGCCGGGGCGGGGGCCTGGAGCGGCGGGGGCGGGGGGGGTCCCGGGGCAGGGGCGGGGCCCCGGGCTGTCAATCACGGGGCGCGGCCGCCAATCAGGGCGCAGGCGGTGGGAGTTCGGCCGGTCCGGATGGAGCGGGGCAGAAAAGCGCGTCCCGCCAGGGCCCGCAGCCCACCCGCGCTCCCGCCCCGGGGCCGCCAGCGGCGGCGAGCCATGCCCCGCACCCTGCCCCGGGCTCGCACCCGCACCCGGCACCTGCCCCGCACCTTGCTCCGGGCCCGCACCCGCACCTTGCACCGCGTCCTGCCCCGCACCGGGCGTTCCGCGCCCGTCGCCGCCGCCGCCCCCCGCCGCCCCCCGGCCATGCCCGCGTCCCACCGGCTCTGAGCGCGGCCGGGATGGAGCGGGAGGGCGGCGGCCCGGGGCCCCCCGCGCCCCACGAGCCCATCAGCTTCGGCATCGACCAGATCCTGGGCGGCCCCGAGCCCACGGGGCCGCACCGGGCGGCGGCAGAGCCCGACTACGGGCTCTACGGGAGCGGCTACGGCCCCAGCGGTCCGCTCGGCTCCTACAACCTCAACATGAGCATGAACGTGAGCGTGAACGTGACCCCCGCGCCCGCCGCGCCGCCCGCCGGAGTCATCCGCGTCCCGGCGCACCGGCCCGCGCCCGCCGCGCCGCCCGCCGCGCCCGCCGCGCCGCCGCCGGGGCCCGCGCTGCCGGGGCTCACCTTCCCCTGGATGGAGACCACCCGCCGCATCGCCAAAGACCGGCTCTCAGGTGAGCGGGCGGGACGGCTGCTGGGGGCTACCGGCGGCTGTTGACGGCTCCGGGGACTCGGGCGGCACCGGCCGCTCCCGCCGTTCCGTCGGGGCATTGCGCGGTGCGAGGCGGACACGGGGATCGGACGGGCACGGCGGGCACCGTACGCTCCACAGGTTCCCGCAGCGCCCGGTCCTCGCCCGCCGCCGTCGGGGCCTGCGGAAAAGGGTCGGGGTGGACGCGGCTACCGGCGGCTCCACCGCGGCACCGGGCAGGGTCCGGCGGCTGCGGGTGGAGCCCGGGGGTCCCGGCGGGCTCCGGTCTCGAGCTCTACTCCGTGTCTGGTCCTTCCCTGGTTTGGAGGTGCCGGTGGTGACCCTGTGCCACCGAAACAGGGAGGCTGTGGGGAGCCGGGGTGTGGAGTGGGAGCTCTCTGGGGGCCCCCTTGGAACGAAAAGTGGGGTGGGGGCTCTGCGGGGTGTGAGATGTGATGTGGGGGCTCTGTGGGGACACGGTGCAGGGTGGGGGGACCACCGTGGGACTGAGGACAGAGCTCATCCATGCACAGAGCAGGTGTCCCACGCCTTGTGAAGCCCAGAGGATGGGGACGGTGGTGGAGGGGTACCTGTGGGGTGGCTGGGATGGGATCCCGGATCTGAACGTGCAGGGATCGGTGCGGAACACAGTGCCAGTGGTGTGGGAGAGGCCGGGGCAGCCATGCGGGTGTTGTGGAGGCAGCGAGGGGTTGAGATATACTGCTGAGTGCCCTGGTGGGGGGCTGAGCAGCAGTGCTGGGGTGGGGGTGTTGGTTGCAGCACCCGAGGAGCGGGAGGGGTGCTGAGGTTGGGGTCGTGGGTGCTGGGGACCCCCAGCCTGGCTCAGCTCTGCTCCCACCCAAGATGGCGGCACTGCCACGTCCCCAGTGGTGTGGCTGCATGCGGGGACAAGGCTGGAGGCCATGCGGGGCCGGTGGCCAAGTCCCGGCCATGTGGGCGATGGGGCGGTGTGGGCCGAGAGGTTGGGGACCCTGGGGGTCCCACCCGGGCGCCAGCAGAACCGTGTTCTCCTCCCGGCCCACCCCGCCATCGCGGCGGTGACGAAGCACCGTCCCCGCGCAGGGGTGGCGGGTGACGTCCTCGTCTCCTGCCTGGCGCCAGCGTTGGGTGGATGGGGCAGCCCCTCCCCGGCACGGGCTCTCCCAGCCGCAGCCATCACTCAGCACCCCCAGCCTTGGGGTGGGCTGCGGGCAGGAGGCATCTGGTCCCGGCGAGGGGCCGCCCCGTGCGGGGAGGGGGAACGGGGGCCTCCGTCCCCCCCGGCTGCACGGCTCCACCTGCGTCAACCGTGTCCGCCCCCGCCGGCGGCCAGGCGGCCTCCTGGGCGCGGGTGGGAGGCAGGCTCTGTGGGTGCCAGGGGCCCCCTAGGGTGCCGTGGGCTGCACCCACATCCCTGTGCCACGGGGACCTGTGGCTCCATGGCCAACCATGGTCCTTGCCCACGCGGTGCTGGCCCTGGTGGTGGCCGCGGTGCCATGGCGCCATGGGGACGTGGTGCCGTAGGGTCATGGCTTGGCCGAGGCGCTGCCAGAGTAGGAGGGACACAGGCGTTGAGGGCTGACCCTGCCAAGCCTTCAGTTTCCTCCATGCTGCTTCACTGTTCTGACGCTCCCTGCAGCTCTGGCAGCTTCTGCGGCTGGGATGTGGCACGTTGGTCTCACCAGGGCTGGCTCACACCTCAGCTGGGCAGGGACATCCCCTTCCAAGCCCCTGGCAGTGGCCAGCCCAGGAATTGCTGGCCCATGGAAAGAGACTCTGCCTCCCAACAGCTTCTGTGGCCCCATCCCGTCACGGGCAGGGCTGGGCAGCTCCTGCAGGGTGGCAGAGGCTCCTCGGGGGCTGCGGCAGGGCTCGGTGTGAGGGGAGGGTGGGTTTGTGCAGCCGAGCTGGATGGTCCTGCGTCAATCCTGTGACCAGGCCAGACCATCCACCCCGACATTCCGGTGCCACGCGGCTCGGGGAGCGACTGTGCCGCGGGGTAGGACAGGGGATGGGTCCTCCCTCCTCAGGTGGGGACAGCTCTGGGTGTCCCCCTCCGCTACCCTTGCAGGCAGCACTGGTGGCTCCCCTGGAGCTCCCAATCCCCATGGCCCCGAGCCCCCTGGCATCCCCCCAGGGTCCCGCTCTGCTGTGCTTTGCCGATGTCACCCCGAGCCCCTCTCACCCCGCTGTCCCCCCAGCCGCGCTGTCGCCCTTCGCGGTGACGCGGCGCATCGGGCACCCGTACCAGAACCGGACGCCGCCCAAGCGCAAGAAGCCGCGGACGTCCTTCTCCCGGGTGCAGATCTGCGAGCTGGAGAAGCGCTTCCACCGGCAGAAGTACCTGGCCTCGGCCGAGCGGGCCACCCTGGCCAAGGCCCTCAAGATGACGGACGCCCAGGTCAAGACCTGGTTCCAGAACCGGCGCACCAAGTGGAGGTAACGGGGACTGCCCTGGGGTAGCCGCCACAGCCATGATGCTCACACCCCTCTGGCAGACACCCCAATATCCCTCTGGCAGACACCCCAGTGTGTCCCTCTGGCAGCCACCCCAATGAGTTCCTCTGGCAGACACCCCAATATCCCTCTGCCATCCCAATATCCCTCTGGCAGACACCCCAATATCCTTCTGGCAGACACCCCAGTGTGTCCCTCTGGCAGACACCTCAATGTGTCCCTCTGGCAGACACCCCAATATATTCCTCTGGCAGACACCCTGATATCCCTCTGCCATCCCAATATCCCTCTGGCAGACACCCCAATATCCCTCTGGCAGACACCCCAGTGTGTCCCTCTGGCAGACACCTCAATGTGTCCCTCTGGCAGACACCCCAATATATTCCTCTGGCAGACACCCCAATATCCCTCTGGCCGACACCCCAATGTATTCCTCTGACAGACACCCCAATATCCCTCTGACAGACACCCCGATATCCCTCTGGCAGCCCCAAACCCCACATCCCTCCAGCAGCGAGCCCCGCATTCTGGGGCCCCGAGGCTGGCACTGGGATGGACCAGAGATGGATGGCATGGGCTGCCCATCACCGTGGCCTCCCCGTGCACTGCTGGTTGAGCTCTGGTGGTGGTGTGGGACGTGGCAGCAGTAAGGGGACAAGGGACAGCGCTGTGGGGTGGCGGGCAGGTGGCAGTGCCAGCAGTAAGGGTTCGAGGGACAGCGCTGTGGGGCGGCGGGCACGTGTGTCGCTGTCAAGGCAGGACGGGAATGAAGAGACTTGACTCAGAAGGCTGTGAAAGTAAAACTCCGATTTATTCAAAATACCCTGCTCTTTTATACAGAGCTTTGTAAGGACCAAATCCATTGGTCCTGAAGTGAAAACAATTCAAAGCATTGGTGTACAGTGCTTGACGCACAGTGATAGAACTTAACTATAAACAATGTGAACAACAAGAGAGATAAAAGATTATTTACATTCTTTCCCAGCTCTTTCCCAGGCTTCTGCCTGGATAGAAACTCTTAGTTTCTTTCTTTGACTGAATCTGAGACCCACACACGTGGCAGTGCCAGCTGTGGGATGTGCCAGCAGTAAGGGGACGAGGGACAGCGCTGTGTGGCAACGGGCACGTGGCAGTGGCAGCAGTAAGGGGACGAGGGACAGCGCTGTGGGGCGGCGGGCAGGTGGCAGTGCCAGCTCAGCCCGTGCCCACGGCGGCTGTCCGCAGGCGGCAGACGGCGGAGGAGCGCGAGGCGGAGCGGCAGCAGGCCAACCGGCTGATGCTGCACCTGCAGCAGGAGGCTTTCCAGAAGAGCCTGGCGCAGCCGCTGCCGCAGGACCCGCTCTGCATGCACAACTCCTCGCTCTACGCCCTGCAGAACCTCCAGCCCTGGGCCGAGGACAACAAGGTGACGTCGGTCTCCGGGGTGGCCTCTGTGGTGTGAGGGGCCCCTGGGTGCCGCTGATGTGCCAGGAGGTGGCACTGGGAGCCCGCTGGGCTCTGAGCCTGGACCGTGGCGGGGAAGGGGCTGCAGCCTTCCTGAGAGCCCCGCACTGGCAGCCCCCTCCCCGCCATGGAGAGCCCCCCAGGACCATCCAGGAGTGAGGCCGTGCCCCTGTGGTTGGACTCAAAGCTTCACCGAAGCCCACCTGGAGCACTGCTATGGGCAGCCCCCCGCCCGGACCCCCAGGAACCCAGGGGTGGGCTCCCATGCCCTATGGACCTCTGCAGCCCCCCGCCCGGACCCCCAGGAGCCTAGGGCTGGGCTCCCATGCCCTATGGACCTCTGCAGCCCCCTGCCTGGACCCCCAGGAGCCTAGGGGTGGGCCTCTGCACCCCACAGATGTCTGTAGCACCCTGCTCAGACCTGTGGGAGCCAAGGGCTGGGCATCTACACCCCATGGACACCTGCAGCTCCCTGCCTGGACCCCTGGGAGCCCAAGCATGGCTCCCCCACACCTGGCAGGGTTCTGCAGCTCCCCCCACCAGCAGCTCCATGGGTCACGCTGGCTCCCTTTGAGCCCACCTGGAGCAGGGCAGGGCGTGGACCTCCCATTCCTGGTGCTGGAAGCCCCCCCACCCTGCCAGCGGGGTCTGACCCCCCGCACCACTTGCCTTACCCCGGGAGGAGTTTGCCACCTCCGGCTTCCATCTGTGGACGAAGGACTTGGCCACCCCGGCCCCAGCCCGTGGTGGGACAGACTGAAGATCTGGGCCCCCGGACCCCCACCCAATGGTCTGGCAGCTCCCTGGGCCCGGACGTGCCCTTGCAGCCCCCCGCCGTGGGCTCGGGGTGCCCCCCATGCCGAAGGATCGCACCGGTCCCTGACACCCCCCGGGACTGCCGCCACCTCCCACAGACTGAGCCTCGGTGTGACCCACAGGACACTCGTGGGGTGCAGAGGGGCTGAACCCCCCCTTCTTCTGGCACATCTCTGCACCCCTCCCCAGTGACCCCCTAAGTGGGGCTTCCCCCTGCCAGGAGCATCCAGCCCGACTCCAGCCTCTGTTGATGATGATGATGATGATGATGGAGGGAATGAAGGGTGTGGGGAGATAACAACGATGACCTTGACCCTGAACTCGACCTTGCCCCCCACCCCACTGCTATCGGCGATGCTGCAGCCCCTCACCCCACTTTTGGGGGGACAGGCTTCTGCGGGCTCCCCCTCTCCGTTGCTGTCGGGAGGAGTCGGACAGCCGGTACCGGCGGGATTGGCTACGGTTCCGTGACGCGGAGGGGTGGAACCGCATCACCACCGGGATGAGCGCGGCCGAGGGCCGGCCCCGGTGCCGCTGGGGCGGCGGCGGCGGCGGCGGCGAGGCGGTGCTCCGTGCCCGTGCTGAGGCCGCCGGTTACCGGAGGCTGCTGCGAGCCCGAGCCGCCGAGGTGGAGGCGTTGCGGGGCGCGGTGGGCGCGTTACACCGGCAGCTGGAGGGGCTGCGGGACCGGCGGAGCGGGGAGCTGGCCAAGTACCAGGTGCGGGATGGGGGGGCCGGGGGGCGCCTGGGGGGCTGGGAGGGAGCGGGGCTGGGGGCTGGGATGGGAGGAGGGGGGTGGATGTTTTTGGGGAGGGGGCGGTGCTGGAGCTGGATGCCCGGAGGGATGGGGAGAAGGCGGGGTGGAGATGGGGAGGGGCGGGGGTCAGGGGTCCGGATGGAGGTGGGGGGCCCCGGGAGGCAGCGGGAGCGGCAGCGGGATGCGATGGGGGAGTTCAGGTGGGATTGGAGGTGGGGTTTGTGTGGGTCGGGCCATCGGGTGTCCCTGTGGGTGGCTGTGGGTGCGGAGCTGGGGATCCCGTGGGTCCCTGTGGGGTGGGGGCTTAGGGGTCCATGTAGGGCGGGGGTCTCCCCGGGGATCCGTGCGGGGTGCGGAGTTCCAGGGGTCGGGTCAGGGGTGCCGGGAGTCTGTCTAGGCGGGGTTCGAGGGGATCGGGGGTCGGGCCGGGGCTCTGGGGAGGGGTCGGGGTGCGGGCGGGGGTCCCCGTGTGCGGGGGGATGCCGGGGGTCGCCCCGCGGCCCCGGCGCTGCTGACGGCCCGGCTCAGGAGCGGGTGGCGGAGCTGGAGCGGGAGATCGGGGCGGCGGAGGCGGAGATGGCCCGGTGCCTGCGGGAGTACCCGGCACTGCTGCGGCTGCGGATGGCGCTGGAGGCGGAGATCGCCGCGTACCGGTACGCGAGGGGGGCGCGGGGAGCACGGGGGGCGAGGGGCTTAGCCCGGCTCTTCTTTTCCAGGGAGATGCTGGAGAGCGAGGAGCTCCGCCTGGGCGGCTTGGTCCCGCCGTGACCGGACCCCCGGAGCCCCGGTGCCACCACCGGACCCCGGCCCTGCCGTTACCACTGGACCCACGGTCCCGGGAGCGGATCCTCAGCCCCACCACCGGAGCCCGGTTCCTCCGCCGGACCCCAGACCCCCGAGTCCTGCGGCCCGGGTCACGATTCCCCGGGACCCTCTGGATCTCTCTGGACTCACGGAGCCCCGGTCCTTCTGCCCCCCCGTTCCACGGGTCTCCCGGACTTGTGCGTGCCCGCCGGCCCCGGGATCCCGGGAGGGCAGCGCCGGGGGGGACACACACTCACCAGCCTCTCCGGGGTGGGGGTCCCGGCCCAGACCCGTGTGGAAGCACCTCAATAAAGCCCCGTGGCATCACCCGGAGCCGGCCCGGCTGGAGGGGGGTGGGCAGCACCCCCGGCTGTGCTCCAGGGGTCTGTGGGGGGCTCATGGAGGGGTGTGGGGTCCCTCCTGCCTGAGGGTGCAGCCCCTCACCCCCGAGCTGGGCGCGGCACGGGGACACTGAGGGGACGCATTGTGGGGTCACAGCTTCGGTAGAAACGGAGCCCCCCCCGTGGTGAGGGGTGGTCGCTGATCCCCCCCAATGTCAGCGGCGCTTTAGGGTCAGGATGGGATCCTGCTCCCCGGGGTGTGGCCGCGGGGTGCTGCTCCTGTGTCTGGGGACGTTGTCCCACCGCAGACCCCAGAAAGGAGGCAGAGCTGGGTGGGTTTTTGAGGGAATTCAGGGAAACTGGGCAGGACTCTCTACCCAGCCTGTCCCCGAGCTGGGCTGGAGCACGGGTGGAGCCTGTGCCAGCCATGCAGATGGACCCCAGGGCTGAGCTTTGTGCCAGCTGGAGCCCCTCGGAGAGCTGTGGGAGCCCAGCACCTCCCTTCCCACACAGACACCGAGCAGGGTTTGTGGTGGCAAAGCCAGTCCCAGGATTTTAATCGGGGAAAAAAAAAAGATCTTTTCCAAGCTGTTAAGGCATGGGGGTTGTGGGGAAAGCAGGAGCCCGTTTGTGGGGTCAGCACCCTCAAAACCGCTGTCATTGGGGTGCGTCGAGGCCCATCCAGGCGCTCCAGGGGCTCCAGGCCGGGGGGGTGTAGGGGTCCCGGCAGCTGATCCGCACCCACCCCGCTCCCGCCGGCACCGGCGTCTCCTCCGCACCCTCCACGAACTGCTCAACCTGCAAAGGGGGCAGGGCGTGGTCTAGGGAGACCCTCGGGGAGGGGGACACCAGCACCCCCTGAGCCTGGCAGCGCCGCGGGGAGCAGAGGTGACAGCCGGGGGTGACAACTCAGCACCCCAGGAAGGGAAGCAGCAGAGCGAGGAGGGGCCATGGCTGAGCATCTTCCCAGGCACAGGGAGGAGCCGGGGATGGGGCAGGGTGGGCACGGGGCAGGGTGGGCACGGGGCAGGCTGGGCACATGGGGTAGCCTGTGCAGGGTCCCCCTGGGCAGAGATCACCCCTGTTACCTGGGTGCCGTTGTGGAGCTCGTACTCTAGATGGTAGAGCAGTGCAAAGTAGGACTTGGGGAGCGGCCAGGAGGCCGGGGGAGCCCAGGCCAGGTGCAGCTGCTCCCCTCGCTGCTGCAGGATCAGCTTCTGGGGCGGATCAGGACGCACTGTGGACAGAGAGGGCTCAGAACAGGGGATGAGACCCCCCCACCCAGAACCTCCAGTACTCCTGGACACCCCCACCCCACTGCTCCTGCCCTGAGCTCACCAATGTCGCGGAGGAAGAAGTGCTTGGAGAGGTTGAGGTAGGAGGTGTCTGAGAGCCCCTCCAGGTGCAGCTGGAGTGGGTGCAGCTCCTCTCCAAAGGGGCAGAACAAGGCGTCTGCCAGACTGGTGTTGAACAGGCCCCGGGCACTGGCCACCGGTACCCACGGTCCCACGGAACCATCGCTGTGGGGAGGGAGGTGTGAGCAACCTTAAGGCAGGGTGGCAGGGGTGCTGCTGTGAGTTTTTGGGGTCCCGGGGCACCCACTTGCGTAGGAGGCGGGCACGGAAGACGGCAGAGGGGGGCCCGGGCCAGGAGCAGTGGAAGGAGCCGTTGTAGGACTCAGCCTGGCAGGACACGTTGATCTCCTCCTCGCCTGAGGGGTTGAGGGGTGGCTGGTCAGGGGCTGCAGGAGGCCAGGAGCGGTGCCCCCTCCCTGCATGGCACTGGTGGGGCTCTCCTTGGCCCCCCAGCCCTCATGGCCACGGGCTGGGCATGAGAATCTCCTGGTCCTCATGGCCACGGGCTGGGCATGAGAATCTCCTGCTCCTCATGGCCACGGGCTGGGCATGAGAATCTCCTGGTCCTCATGGCCATGGGCTGGGCATGAGAATCTCCTGCTCCTCATGGATGGGCATGAGAATCTCCTGCTCCTCATGGCCATGGGCATGAGAATCTCCTGGTCCTCATGCATGGGCATGGGAATCTCCTGCTCCTCATGGCCATGGGCTGGGCATGAGAATCTCCTGCTCCTCATGCTCATGGGCTGGGCATGAGAATCTCCTGCTCCTCATGGCCA